GGAAAGAGGTGGGTGGGGTGCCACTGTTTGATTTATTACATGAGCAATATCTTAGCAAATTGAAAATATAAGAGGGTCTTATTTTATATTCTAGCTTGTCAATATCGGTAATTTGTTTCTAATTCCTACGAAACTATAAACTTAGTATTTTGACTAATCAAACATCTAATTTGAACCAGTGCTGCATTCAACATACCACGTGACACAAACATTGATGTTTATCTGGTTTTTTTTTAATTATTTGCTTTTAAGTTAAAAAATTGAGTAATATATAGTACTAAAATGTGAATTATAATCTACAGTTTGATACCGAAGTTATTGACATAAATTCATGAAATAGTAGTTCAAAAAAATTTTGAATGCGAGTCAACGAGATGACGTTTCACAGCTCCACACTTTCAGCTCTTGATTGTTCTCTGCTCCAGTTATAGCAAACTTCCAAAACTGAATACTGTTAATAAAAAAAAATGCATAAATGGAAAAAAAGTTTTTAAATTTAATATGTGTTTTTTGACACCTATAATTTGTTTTTCATTAAAATTAAACAATTAGTTTTAACTAGAGAATAATGTCTTTTTGACAATTAATATTCTCACTTCTGCTTTTTGTTGCTTTCTTTGAGGAAGTGCTGGCTTGGAACTTTAACACATTTAACAAATTTATTTATTTTTATCATGAGCAGAATTGATTTGTTTGTTGACAAGCTAAAACATACACAATGAGCTTACTGTGCTGTGCCCATCACTGGTTTCAAAATCCAGTTTTTAGCATTATAAGCTTTCAGACTTATCAATGAGACACTGAGGTCAAACAGAATTGGTTAAGAAGAATTTAACCATTACTGTAACTTCTTTAAATAGTCAACATGCTTGTATTAAATTTACTGCTTAAAGCAAAATAATTCATTTATATCTTTTTGCTTTTAAAAAAATATATACATTTAGTGGGTTATATGTTTTAATTTTGGTAAGTCTAAAAAAACTTTAATCATCTTTGGTTGTAGAAATTGTACAATTTGGTTAGTTACTTTCAATAATTTTCTTAAAAATTAGAAAAAAACAGCATATTATCATCTGATTGGATTGATTAAATGTCAGAAAAAATGTTGAGTTTTATTGCTTAATGTGTCAAAATTTCAAGTTATATTACTTTTCCATTTTCCCTTGTTTGCTGATTTCACTTAAAATTAATTGATAATATTATTTCATAGGCACTCTAAATTTTTTTTCCAGTTCAAATGCATGGTTTGTGCCATCCAGTTGTGATACAAAGCTATCACATCTTTCTATATTTTCACTATGGTTTGTTTCGTAAGCTTATTTCTAACCAGAATTGATATTTTTAAAACTTTTTTACAATTTTTCTTACTTTGTTTCACATCTTGCTGTTTTACTGCACACTTTATACCAAATTTTGTTTCTGTCTCTGACATCAGTTTTATTTTTAGCCTTATAACTTGGTATCTTAACTTGTCCTTGTTTTGTTTCTTCCTTTCATACATTTTTTCATTTAACATTTTTATGCAAAAATTAACTTTCAAGTTGTAGCTTGAGTGAGCCTAAAGTATACTTTTGGTGAATTACTGCCAAAGAATATTTATCTTTTACATTTCTTTCTGATAAAACAGAATGAAAACTTGTGATTTCTATGAGTCAAATTTACAGTAGTTAAAACAAATACAGAGTAATATTAGAATATATATAACTAAACAAAATATGTTCCAAATATAGTCGCTTTTGTTCAACCTGTTATACATACGTTTAATGCTGGAGGTGAACTTTGTCTATCCCTAACACTGAAAACTTACTACTACTACTAATAATAATGATATATATATATATATATATAATAAAAGAAAACTCACATCATCACTACAGCTAAATACTATATAATAAATCATTCACAGACACCAGTATAACAACCATTAAATGAGAAAATCAACAGAGTTCCGTTATTGGCAATTTTACCTTCTGATCCTATGCTCACTAATCTACGCGTCTTGTACTGTGCCACAATGTAAGGCCTAACCACCTACCAACGAGCATATTAATGTGTACAGAAATTTTAAGAACTTTATTATGTTATTCCTTGCTAATAAAAAAAGTATTATGAAAATAATGTTGTATTCCAGATAAAACTGAAACTGTCACAAGGCAAAACTGCACTGAATGATCACTTGGGCAATTCTGACCAAGTCCGAACTTGGCTTGGAAATACATTCTAGTTCAATCTCTCTCAATACTTTGTAAAATAACATAATACATGTCAGGAGACCAGTCTTGTAATATAAAAAAAAAAGCATATCAAACATGACAAAAAATTAACAAAGCCTTATTTAGTGTATTAGCTACGAACAGAAACAGACACACCTGCACTAGTCCTAACCACAAGTGACTGCTTAAGAGCAGCTTAGGCAGGAATTAGCATACTTCACAGCTAGGAACATCCTGTTCATATACATCTAATTAAGTATAACCAATCTGTACTGACATTTTGAAAAATTACATGGATATGCCTGAATAAAGATATACTCATCTTCTAAGTTATGACAATGCAATTATAACTACGACATGTTCATGGGAGATTTATTTAGTTTACAATAAATATATGACAAAATTATCACCATGCAGAATATGTAAAAATATCCCTTAGCAAACACTCCTACTAATATATTTGAAGAAAGTAATAAGTACTAACAGAAGCCAACCATTACAAATGCAAGATATGCAGAACACACAACTTTTCTCTTTAATTTTTGTTTTGCATATGTACTTATCACAGGCTTGAGTTTTGAGTTGGTTAAAATAATATATGTATTTTCATTTTGTTTTTCTTTATTTTTTCATTAAAAATATACTGTAATTTAAATTTGTATTATTTTATCATTTTACCAGTTAAGATTTTTTTTAAAGTGCATAACGCGAAGCCAATACTAAACACAACTACTTTAACTATATGCACACTCTTAAAAACGCAATTCCAAGTAGCCAGATTATAAAAGAAAAAGAAAGAAAATGTTTAAATAATACACACACATAACATGGAAAGTGAAAAAGTAATTTACTTTTACTTGTACAAATGCCTACAGTTTAAACGTGGTATTCCAAGGTCTAACCAAGGAAACAGTTACCCAGTATTCTTAATTTAGTTTCACTTGTACAAACGCACACAGTTTAAATGTGGTATTCCAAGGTTTAACGAAGGGAACAATTACCCATTATCCTCAAGAGCAAGTGATTCATGGAACTAGTATGTGGAAAAACAAGTGTAGTGATTTCTCACAGTTGAAAAAAAAAAGAGAAAAACACAGTATGATGCAAGAATAAACACTTTATTGACTGAAAAGATGGGATGTACAGCAGACTTGCTGATCAGTGTAGGAATGAGAACTATTGCATTGTGGAGTAAGAAGTAAAAATCGGAATAGGTATATAACACTTAAGAAAACGCGAAAGTAAACAACCTGTATGGTTGGAAATATAATAGTTTAAAAGCAACTGATGAACTTACTGAAAACTACTAATACACAACTAGCAGTTATTACAAATCTTGGAAAACAAGACTGAATTTAACAGAGCAAATAATATCTCTTTCTAGTCAGAAATAAATCTGGCAGAAAATGCTAAACTGCTTTCACATTCCACATTCTCTCTATATCTAATAAAAAGTTGGAATCACATGTGTCTGGAAGTATCTCTGCATCATGTGATGACCTTCAAGCTGTCCCATATAGACATGATAAAATAGAACACAATACAACTATCCCACAAAACAGTACTTAGTTTCCACATCTGGATCCTCCAACAGAAAGTACCATCTAGGATAACCTTGCCTGGATTATGTTAAACCCAGTTTTGCCCCTAGAAGCTCCTGAGTTTTAGTAATTTTACCATCCCCAATCATCTAAAAATTTATTAGAAGATTCATTAATAATTGTTTTTTATCCCAAAAGTGATTTTATATCAAATAACAAAAAACCCTATGATATGTTTGAGTTTCTATGAAACTAAAAAGTTGTTGTTATACTGACAACTGGCACTTAAGGGTTAATGGCTTACAGTATTCTGCTGATGATACAAACAAGATTTTGGAAAAATCCTAAAATTTTTACATGTGAGATACACACTGAAAGGAGAACATGATATATAGTATTTTTATACCACAACAATATAAGTGTCCTTATTTCTTATTTTACATATATGTATATTTCACAGAATGAACTCTTACATTTTTTCAACTGTCTTCCTATGCAATATATATCTGTATTTTAAGTTTATAATTTTCATGTATTTCAAATCTCTTAGTTTCATGTTAAGCATACAACATTTTATGATTTTTATTATATGCTTTGATTTCAGGAATGTCAATGTTTACATCTTTAGTTATATCTTAGTCATATAAACTCTTAAGTTTCATATACTGGAACTTTTAAGTTTTCAGTTTATAAATTTCACCACTGATGCATTCATGCTTGACAGTTTTCAAACTCTGAAGCACTCTTTTCGTTAATAAATATTTATTCTACAAAATTTATACAGATCAATTTAATTTATGAAATGCAAGTATTCTAGTGTCTAGTGTGTGGTAAAACTTAATCATTTTTTGAGTGCATTTCAATCCATATATATTTACTGTTGAAAAGACTATCTAAGGAATAGATGGGCTAGATAAACAGTTTCATTAGGCTTTTTTTATATGGTGCATATCATCATAAGATGCACTGTTTATTTCATCACTACTCAAAGATTTTGCAGAATGGTTTTACAAAATCTTTAGAGTTAACCTGATCAAATTCTGAAAACTCAAAGCCTAAATTACACATCAGTACTTTGATGTAATTTCTTGAAATATAATGGCTTTACTGTAATAGCCCTGGCTCACAATTTTGCTAAAAAAAACAATCAAAATTGTATTTTAACTAATCATTAGCATCGGCAACCAGTTCTTATTGACAGCTCTTACAAGATACATACTGAAAAGACAAAATAATTTAACCTTTTCACAAGTAACATATGAAAAATGGAAAATCCCTTACACATTGCAGTTTTTCCACATCAAAAATTTATTTCAGCCTAGAAAAGAGCTTAAATTTCTACAATATTTTTTCAGTTACAAAATCGATTTATGATCTACATTTACATCTAATATCTTAGCTAATGAGACCTAATGAGTGATGAAACACAAAATATCTTAAAGATATTTTACCATAACATTCAAGTTTTCAAAAAATGAAAGATTAGGGGCTCAACTCCCTTGTGGTGTTCAGACCTTGCATCCATTTCAAGTGATGGCCAGTAACTTTTAAACCCAGCCACACTGCACTGAAGAATGATACTGAAGCCACAGCTGATCTGATATATCAGCCCTTCTTCCTCTGTCTTTTCGTAAACAGTCAGAGAGGAATTTAGTATCTTACTTATCATCAGATCATACTACACAGTGTCCTTACCC